GAAGAGAGAAAGTGGAAAGAAATATGTGCTGCTGACTTTTTTTAAGTTTTACAATGAAGGAGAATAGGAAATTGAGTGGTAGTTAAAAGGAGATATAAGGTCAAAGGTTAATTTTTCAATATTGAGAAGAGACAGAACATGTTTGTATGCTTTTGTGATTGGGTCAATGAAGAGAAACAAATTAATGACATAGGAGGGAATAAAATAATAAAAAATTATAAATTAATTGAGGAAGGAGAGCCCTTGAAAAGAAGGGATAGGATCCAGGGCATGGGAATATGTGCGTGAGGAGACATGGTTTGTCTCTGATAGGACATTTCTACTGGAATACACACGTGTCTCAAGCACACACATTTGTATTTACACATCTTGCAGCTCTCGTCAGCAGTAGAAGGATTTGTTTGAAATGGAAGGGAAACTATTTCTGGAGGTGAATAATCGGAAGTGTCCCAAAATAATGAGCCATGCTGACTCAGGTCCCTTCCTGTAGTCCTGCCCAGATCAATACTTAGATACTGGTATCTTCCTTAAAGTCCCTCCTTGTGCTTATTTTAAGTCATTGCTAAGAGCATTTTTATTTAAAAAAATTATAAGCCTGTTTTGAGTATCTGCTTGTTTCCATATAAACAAATATAACTACACAAACTCAGCATTGTTCTTCATCAATTCAAGTTGGAGGGAAAGGATAGGCTCTGGTTAGAAAGAATTCTCCACAAACCACAAATATTTATTGTCAGATTGGATGCAGCTGATCACCAATAGCAAACAGTTTTATCGTCTTAATGTCCTATATCCTCCTTTACATAAACCAAAAGATTCAAACAACCCATTGGAGACACTGGACACCCCCTCACCCTCCCTCTCCTCCTTCTTCAGGGTTTCAGCTGTATAGTCTGTGGAAAATTACTGCTTTTATTCAGAACAGTCTCTCACAAATGAGTCCCTTGGAGTAACTAAAAGATGGAACATGTTTGCCTTTTGGAAGCCCAAGGCATTGGCTGGTTTTGTGGATAGGATGATCTGATTCCATAGAAAGAAGTGCCTCGAAGTTGCTTTCAGTAATTAGAGTGCCTGTGATGTACAAACAGGCAGGAAAATGGAAAAAACAAGAACAATCCCACTCTATTGAACAAATTGCTGTCCCATGAAAGCAAATGTTAAACATTTCCTACAGTTACATGTGCAAAGATTCCAATTTATAAGAAAAGATTTTTCCCAAAGGGATATGTTGACCTTTCCAAGTTGAGCTGTTCAGAAAAGAGGGAAAAAAATGCAATGCACTCAGATGCCAAGCGTTTCTGACATTTGTGGCAGAAGAAAAAGGAAGTCTGTGATTTGCATTTATCATTTGCCCTGCCTAAGTAGTGGTTGGGTCTGATATGTCGTCCTCTTGAGGGTTTTTCATTTTGAAAGATTTGGGGTAGTTTCCCATTTCCATTTTGGGTCAGTGAGCACTTGAAAAAATTTTATTTCCTTCCAATCTTGCCGGCAAAATGTGCACAATGAGGCAGTAGCCTAGGAAATTAATAGTTTATAACAAATCTTGAAAGAATGTCATCAGACTCTCAATTGTCCTGAACAAAAACAATTAGAAAGTCCAAATAGAATAAAACAGGCTTGTATCAGGTAATTATTTTAAACCCACTGGATGTACTGCTGTGCACTGATTTTCCCACAATCATAATGATTGTTATAATGGTTACAATAACTTCAAAGAATTTTAAAATTTAAAAAAGGTTTAAGTGCTACTTAGAAGAGTTTTTGTTAGAAGATTGAAATATTTTTAGTAGCATTCAAGTTTGTTAAAAGATGTACAACTTTAACGCGTATTTTAGACATTTAAAAACTCCAATATATAAAACACATACAAATGAGCATACAGGCTGGAAGCCCTGCCACTGACCTCCCCCTACCCCCTGCGCGGGTCCTGGTATTACTTCTGAGAATGACTTGCATGTCATTTCCCTATATACCAGGTTCTTTGAAAACTTTCAGTTCATGTAAGATCTCATATATGAAAACTGTTAATTGAAATACTGCTCTGGTTAATGCTGAAGATATGTTTCTCTATTGCCCTAAATAAGGAATGCTTAACAGAATTGTTTTTTAAACCTTTGTTACAAAATTTGTCTGCCAGTGCTCTATTGGTTTAACTATGAAGAGGACCTCATTCTCTCTCCCTCAGATTATAGAAGCCATGTAAGTATCTGGGACTATCATGATACATATAAGATGACGATGCATTATAAAATCAAGTCTGACTCACCTTGTGAATATTAAAAGTAGGTATCATGGCTTCTCTAATTTGATGGTGCAGTTAAGAACCTCCTTCCCCTTCCTCACAATTAAATAGCTCACAGTGTTTGAAACGGTTTGCCAGCCTCACTTTCTACAGTAAACAATAGGTGCTGGCATTTTAAACTGACCTTTAATTTTTCTGAACCAGCACATTATTTCTAGCTTGTTGGTTGTATACAGAAAATGAAAAATGAAAGCAGACAATAATTTTTACATCTCCCACTGGAAGTTGTACATGGACAAGTTTTAAAAATGATCGCCCATGCACTGTCTCACTCTATAAGGGCTCCTTCTAATCAAGACAGATTAGTTAATTACAAGGTTCAGATGCACTGCAGAACCTCACAAAGCAATAAAAGCACTTGTATTTTCACATTTTAAACTTAAATGTGACAAGTTAAATATATCTGTATTCTTATGCACATCTTCACTTAGCACTGCAATAAAATGCTGAGTTAATTTCAGAGGCCACTATATCTGATGATGGCGTTTTCTCCATAAAATAGGTAAGCACTGCGTTTATTCAGGAATAGTCAACAGGTTTGGAAATGGCATTGCTGTATAAGAATTCAAATTAAGGTCTGAATATTTTAACAAATAAAACTAATCATGGGCAGTAGTTAATATCTTATAAAGAGCCAAAATTGCTCCAAGAATTAAGTCAACATACTGATCAGAGTATGTCCTTTGAATTTTCTACACAAGGAGATGTTCTCTTCTGTGCCATTCATTCTCTCAACCAAAACCTAAAGACACTCGCTAATAACTGACAAGGTCAGGGACAGTTTGTAGCAGGAAGGCCTCTAGGTACAATACTGGTCTGCACATGCATAGAACCTGTGGTCTTGACCTCATTATAATTATGACCCCATCAAGTGAGCTAATTGGCTTATTTCTGCAGGTGTGTGAATATAAACCACATTCCATTTTGCCTTATCTGACCCAAATTAACTGCAAAATACATAATTATATGGCACTGATATTCAACAGTTGTCATTTATATGAAAATAAAAACCAAGCTAATTTTCTTCATATTTATTAAATTACTAGAAAACACAAATTGGTATTATCTTCTATAATTTGTAATGCTATCTTCATTAAGAACTAGGAGAAACTTTAAAAGGCTTTTTGGCAGCTCATAGTTCCATCAAGAGAGGCCTTAGAAATCATAGTCCACATAGACTATTGATTAACCACTATTATAACCTCCTCTCAAAAGCTGCTATTTTACATCCCATTAATCAAGTACACAATTTATTTTCTAAGCCTTGGTTTCCTTATATGTGAAATAAGGGTAATATCTCTCTTACAAGATTGCTAAGAGTCATTGATATAATTAGTCAAAGACTCAGACTTACAATAAATGTTCTCTGTCTTGCTAAATTTCAAGTTCAATTTAAAGATGTGTATAAAATACTGCAAAATTAGGCAACTTCTCCCACTCTTTGCAGGGAAGGCGTTGCCAATACCACTGAATGGTGAGATGTGGGAAGTATACAGGGCCTCATACCAACTTCCAACTATTGAGTGCTTATACTGAACACTTACGTACAGTCTCAATCCTTACAACCACTATTTCCATCTAAAAGACTTGTAAACTCCGGCAATTTGTTTAATGCTGTACTAGCTCTACGGAAGCTCTAAGAACTCTGGGAACCTCTCAGAGCTGGTGTGATCTGATCAATGTACATAAGGAAAGCATCTACCGAAAGACTCCCTGAAAGGAAGTCCCCTGAAAGGGAAGGCTGGGATAATCTTGGACTGGCTGCAGACTTTCAGTGAGCTTCTCTGCAAAAGTTTCCACTGGTGAACGAGCAGTGTCAGCAGGGGGTATGAAAGGATAGAAACAAATGTGTTGTATGAGGGTAAAAGACGGTCAAGGAGGTCCCTAGAATAGAGTGTTTCTTCAAGCTATAGAAGATCGAAGGTGTCTGGTGAAAAAGCATTTTACTAGCTCTCAAAACTTACTCTGGTTATTGAGTATGCCCAATGGTCATGACCAAGAGGGATGGAAGATAAAAAGTAGAAGGCAATGTAAAAAAATCAAAATACAGTTGAGTACAAAAGGAGTGCCTAGCTGTTGCTGTAAGCTTGGGATAGTTTTGGTTACATTAAAGTGAAAGGAATTACACAAAGAAAAAAGTAAGTCTCTTCATATTGTATTAGGACAGATCAGTTCAAATTAAAAAAAAAACTATGTAAATGACAAAAAAAAGTGTATTAGCTACTAAATATGCTCTTCATGAACCTACTATCTTCTTCAGCCCTCCAGTTCACCTGAGAGGGTATAAGCTCCTTCCCTGGAACAATCTGTAGGCTCTAGTCCACTCCCAACCTCCCAGCATGGATCCATTCAGAACCCTAACTGTCATGTTTGCTTACACACCTAAAGATTTCCTTTGAGCAAGGGGCTTAAGGAGTATGAAAATCATTGTTGATTATTCCAAATCTGAACTTCATAGGATCAAACAAGTTGAGTATGTTAGCTTTGACTGGCTCAAACCATCCTTTAGGAAACATACCATTCTCAACAAAACTGACTTTGGAACACTGACTATGGTTAGGTTTACACCATGGTGGTAGCTTGTAGTGTTGGAAGCTCGATCCAGATGCTGATTTCTCTAGGTACCTTCTGCCCAGTCACCAATCTTCATCAAGAAACAACCTAGAAATAATCACCCAGAGGCGAGTGCATGTCAAAACTGAGAAATTTGGATGCAGAATTTAAAATTTTCAGTTCTAAAATATCAACTCAATTAAACATGTTACAGGAAATGGCTAGAAACTATGAAATTACATTAAAAAAAAAACACAAGGTAAGTTTCACATGTCTTTGATTACTTGTTATCTCAGTACATGAAATGCACAATTTTGGTAATGGTTAAAATGTCACTAATTCTATCTAAGCCTACCAGTATTTCTTATTACTTCTAATAAGCATCTAAAACTGACAATTCTTTATTGAAATCAATAAAACAAAAAATAGAAACCGTAAATTTAGTAGCTAAAGGAGACAGTATGCTACCATGAATTGTTTATCATATGCATTTAACTCAGTGACTACTTTTGGGACCAAAATATACCCAAGTTAATACAGGAATTTAGTTTACACATCAATAGAGATAAAATAAATTCCAGAATTGTTACCTATTCTTTCCACAAGAAAAATATATTTCTTCCTAATTAATCATACTAACTATAATTTCTAACCTCTTTATTTTTAAATAACCAAAAACCAAAAAGCCAAAAAACAACAACAAAAAAACCCTCAAACATATGAAAATCATGACCAAAGCAAACTTAAATACTTTTCAGTTACTGGGGAAAAGCAATACAAGTAATTGAGCTAAAGGAAGTTTTATCCTTTATGAACTCCAAATTTAGACAAGCCATGTTGTATTCCCATAATAACTAAATATAAATACAAAGAAGGAAGAGAATACATTATTAAAACTTTGAGCCCAGTTCTATTTAAGTTGGGAGTTTATTAGCAGAAATTCTAATGAATATAACTGGAAATATAATTTGGGGCTATAACAAACTCTGTATCAAAGTTAAATTTCATCTTATTCTATAATCACATTTAGTCTGGAATCTTAGGCTAAGGGCTTAAAGGGTTCTCATTGTATAACTTATGATTTTTCTATAAAATATCACTTTAAGTAAAATAAATTAGCAAGGTTTGGCCTGTAGAGTATCTATGACATTTTAAAATCTCACAGAGTGTTGATTCTAGGCAGTAACTTAGTAAAAATCTTTAAAAATTCTAAAATGATAGGAAAATCGAGCTGGATGCATTTCAGTTGTGATGAAAAGGTTAATGGGATTTTAAACTATCAAGTCTACTTTTCCCCTATAAACACAGTATTTAACTATTTCCTTAAGACTATTTTGGAGCCAATCAACAGCATAAATAAAAGATTATTATTCCTACCTTTAGGATTTAATGAATCAATAATGTTATCCTAGCCAATAACACAGGTAACCTACATAATGTCGGACATCTAAAGCTAATACAGAAATCATCTACAAGCTTTGAAATATTTGACCTGATGGCTTTATGCATTTGTAAATTAATGGCTTTTGGGATGGAGGAAGAACTAAGGCACTCAAAGATACCACAACATCTTAAAATCTATAGTGAAAGGAAAAAACTACTAATACTAGTTCTTAAAACTCACAAGTTATAATGTAAAACAAATGTCATTTTAGTTGATTTTCAATGTTTATACATGCGGTATAAATTACATGTATGACATTACAACACCAATCCAAAAGAAAACAATGATGTACAAAATGTTTATGATAAATAAAATTATTGCATTTAATGTCATTTTCATGAAATGAAAATCATCAAATTCCTTAATGTTGTATCAAACGTAAACAATACCAGTTCAAATTAGAGAGAATGTATGTCAACACCAACTTTTGACAAAAATAAGAAAGCTAAAGCCCTACAATTTATCTAATTTAGGTCAGGTAACCATGGAAACAATATTAAAATTATTTATTTTATCATTATGCACATTGAAGGAAATCATAACAGACCTTTTCCACCATAAAATTATATACACCCATTTATTTAGCTAGAAACCCTAGCTTGAGAGGTACTGATATATTCCATTTGTGATACTTTCTGTACAGCAAACAATTGTCTTATATTTGGAGCACGTTGAAGAAAACATTGTCTCAAGTCTTTTTTGTTTTTTTGAGTCTCAATCACTAAGAGTTCAAGGTACTTTGGGAGAATCCTGGTGTCCTGGATGGCTTGATCAATGTATTAAAATCAAGCAGTGTATATTCTTAAAATACTCTTACATCCATACAAATGTTGCTAGAGTTGTGGAGCTGAGATTTCTCCTACTGGCATGATAAAATGTGAAGAACATGTGTTATGAAAGTTTCACACCAATTTTATTTTGTTCCTTCTTCATTAGCCGTTGTGCTTCCTTTTCCATTTTCTTCCTTTGTTGTTCGGCTGCTCTCTTTTCTCTGTCTGCTAGTTTCTGCTGTCTGAAAAGAAATATATTTTTACTTTTAGAAAATACTACACAGGTAAAATGGCAAATAAATTCTAGAAACAAATAGCAGTGCCTTTTTATCACCACCAAATAAAATGTTGAAAGTCTTGAAATCTTCTCACTAACTTGAAAATTCCAAATATTTTCAAAAACAGGATTTCTCTTAGTTCCTAGAACATGACTTGTGAAGTAGAAGAAATATTATCTCTATTTTACAAATAAGTAAAATGAGGCATAAAGGCTACGTGACTGGCCGAAGTCATAGGATTAAGTACAGGGATAAGAACCCACATCTTCTGACACTTCTTATTCAGATTATCTCCATTTCGTAAAACAGTACTTCCATTGAACCACATCTTTTTCTGGGGATACCATTCAGAAAAGCTTGATATTGAGCTTGATAATCTCCTGTTAATATAGTAGTTATAAACAGCCAGTATTTAAAGAGAATGATGAACACAGCTGAACAGAACACATGCTCCAAAAAGAAAACGGAAACTTAAGATACACCTTCCACCTAGAATCTAGAAATAAATTTCAAGATTAACATGTGACTAACTCTACCAAAGAGAAGAGTGGTGGGTATTTAATCAAATACTGCATGTTCTCACTTATAAGTGGGCGCTAAATTATGAGAACACATGAACATATAGAGAACAATGCATACTGGGACCTACCAGAAGGGAGGAGGTTAGACAGAGGGAGAGGATCAGGAAAAATAATGGATATTAGGTTTAATACCTGGCTGATGAAATAATCTGTATGACAAACCCCCTTGACACGTTTACCTATGTAACAAACCTGCACATCCTGCACATGTACCCCTGAACTTAAAAGTTTTTTTTTAAAAAAAGAGAGGTAGGTATTTACTAATTACACTTTGTGAAACACATACCCCTTCCTTACTCTTTCCATAACTCCACTGACCCAGACTCACTCTCTCTATCTTTACTGATTGGTTTATGTAGGGAGTGGAGGTAGGAGTGGGATGATGAAACAGGACAGAGCAGAGTGAACATACGTTGGTCCTGGATCTGAAGGGTTAGGGTGTGAGAAAATCGTTCAAGTATGCAGCGTTGAGGAAGGAAGCTACAGGTCACAATTGGGCATGGAATAGGCAACATTACGTTATATGCAGAAAAATCCAAAGTGGATTATCTATGTCTGGGGGAGATCAATACTGACTACAGTGAGTGAAAAGTATGTACAGTTTTCAATCATAAACAGGAGTAGGCAGAGTTATGGATGACCAAAATTCAAGAAAGTAAAGAAACTATTTTTGGCAACATTTTGACTTTTGCTATCAATTTCTGAAGAACAGTTTTAAAAAATCTATTTTTCATCACTCTGCTCATGTTCAAGAAAAACTAATAATCTGAACTAAAAATGTCAAACCAGAAGAAAAAAGGAAGGTAAGGAAAAAACTATAAAGGGCTGGCTAGGCTATAAACAAGTGAGATAACAAAGTTTTGACCTGGTTACTAGCTAAAATAATATAAGGGCTGAGCACCTCAAATACAAAAATCCAAAATCTGAAATGCTCCAAAATCTGAAATTTTTTGAGGGCTGACCTGATGCTCAAAGGAAATTGTCACTGGAGCATTTCAGATTTTAGATTTTCATATTTGAGATGATGAACCAGTAGTAGAACACAAATATTCTAAGGTTTCAAAAATTTCAAAATCTGAAACACTTCTGGTTCCAAGCATTTTGGAAAGGGATACCCAATCTGTATCAAAAACTAAAATGTAAAAGAGACAACGTAAGAGATAGCTGCAGACGACAATACATTTTACCTATCCAGATTCATGCTGGGAATTATTAAAGTACCAGAATCATCATTCTTAGCAATACTGATCACAGTACTGGCAGCATTTTATAGTGGCAATAGGAAAAAAGCTCAGAGTTAGAAGATACGGAATGTGGATACACTTTTAAAATGCTCAGTGTCTATTCAGGGGCAGTAACAATGTACTGACGCCTCCATTTCTCTTTGGCTCTACCTATGTACTTGCAGCATGAAGCATGTCTATTGCAGATTAACAATCTCACTCTCCCAAGCTCTCCTTAAAGGGTAAAACATTAAGTTTTTAAGTACATTTTTTTCATTTGTCTTGTTTTGTTAGGGGTTAAGAGGCTATAATGAAAAAGAAAAGGTTTTTGTACAATGTTAAGATATTTGTGAACTCATGGCATGAACTCTACAGTGAGATTACCGTATTTAAAAAGGACAGCCCCCTTCCTTTGTCTTTGCAGTTAATGGCACTAATAATTACTAGAATCCCCAAAATGTCTTAAATACTCAGATATCTGTATTTATTATTTACTTTTTAAAATAACACTGAATTTTAAAGAGATGATTTGTCTTTTTTGATGATCCATGCAATATCCTAAGTGTTACAGTTCAAAATTTAAAAAATATTCCCTTTATAAAAGATAAGCTATACTGACTAAATAAGAACTAAATTTTAAAAACTCTCACAATTTTCCTGACTGAATTTTGAAATGTGACTTCCCCTAACCAGCAAAACAAACAAACAAACAAAAAAGGACTTGATATATTTCAAATGAAAAAAAACCAAAAACTTCAAACAAAATTCCCAGTTATTTTGCTGCACCCTCTGCTGGTTGTTCAAAGTAACTGTAATTTATTGACAAAGCCAAGAAAGGAAAATACAAAAATGAAATCCGTTTTTTTGTTGCGAGTCAGATAAAGAATAATTTGTTTGCTATTCCTATAATAAAAACAATCTAAATTTTAAAATAAAAAAAATTATATTGCTGTATCTTACTATACAATTTTAAAAATGCATAAATTATTTAGATGTATTTAAATATCTGACTTTTAAAAATCAGTAGTCACCAGCTCTCCCTTAAATTTTCTCTTTACTCTTTGACCTAACGTAGCAGTACTAAGAAATATGTTTGCTGCCCACACACAAAAAAGAACAACCAATAAAAATGAACTTTAGAACTTCCGGAATAGTATTTTTTGTAGAATGGGTAGTTCATCTAACACATAGGGCTTTCACGGACATCATTTAAGATATATGTACAAACTTACAGTGTCACATAAGTTATTTTCATTCAAATGAGCAGTGCTGGGCACTATGCTAGATCATGAGGAAATGGAAGTAAAGTTGTAACTTCTGATCTAGAGGAATATCAAGCTTGCAATATGATATGTATCATATGTATATAACCATATATATATATAAAACTTTTTATATACATGTATACATAACATTTCATTTGCCATTAATTAAGTTATTTTGTTCCTACAGTGCTTAAAATTCTTGGTTTCCGTGAGGTTTTAATCATATAAAATAGTATCTGCAGTCTGAAATACAAAAAAAAAAAACCCAAAAAACTCCATATTATCTAAGGCTCAAATGAAGAAAAATATATTTGGCAGAATAGGCTCCCTTGACTTGAAACACAGGAGGGAAGAAATCTAGTTCTTCTACTCAGGTTGCAATATAAATGCCACTCAAATACCTTAGAACTTCTTCTGCTTGCCAGGCTGCATCTTCTTCTTCTTCCCATGCATTGGTATTTTCTTGCCAGGTATCTAAGTCACCTAATTCAGACTACAATGAAAAGTAAAACAAAATTAAGAGAGTAAAAGTCATCCTTTCTCCACATAGCCGTCAAAAAGAGTATCTTTTAACACGTAACTTAGAACCTGTCATTCTGCTGTGTCTTTTCAGTTTCCTTACCCTGTCCTATACAAGGCACAAATGATTTTGCTTTTGGCTTGCCTAGAACTGATGTATGACTTTCAATGCTCAACAGTCCAAGGCAAGTCCAGCTTTCTTCTTTATTTTATGTTTTATGGGATACTCTCTTAAATTTTCTTCTTTGCTGTACTTTATTTTGAAATGAACAAGAACAGAACATTTCTTTGGTTTCTTTCTCTTCTCAGTAAGATGAGGGAGCTGGGGATAGAGTGACAAGAAATTGATTGATCCCAGACTGAATCAGAAATCCTTGACTGGACTAATCTGTGCTGAAAAGAACTGCAAGCTGAAATGTAAAAACTAGCACATTCATCTTCATTTAAGCATATGTAACTTACCAGAGATTTTTTATTGGCACTTACTATGTCAATCCTAGGCAAAAATGACAAATCATGCAAAATGTACCTTTATTGAAATACATCTATGCCATGCTTCCTTTTCCCAGTCTTTCTTACCTGGTATCATCTACTGGTCCCTACCTCTATTTCCCAAGGCAGACCTCCAAAAGTTCACTGTTTTCTTTCAATAACTAATGAAAATGGTCATGCTGGACTGTTTAGGTAGGTTTGGAAGTGACTGTGTGTAAAATAACTGGTACCAATCTGTGAACAGATTTATTTAATATCATATTGTTTTAAATACTTACCCCTAAAAATGAAATAGAATGTTTTGAGCTTTCTTCTTCTGACAATATATGTAATACCATACTCTGTTAAAAATTATTAAAATATTTCTAATTGTTTAATATACATTTCTGAAAGGAGCATTTTTAAAGCTACTGAAAGTGCAAATGACAGCTTTGAAAAGTACCAAGCTATCCTCTTGACTGCAGCAGGTAGAAATCTTGCCTTTTCTTCTCCCCACCTCCTTGTTTTTTTTTTTGTTTTTTTTGTTTTTTTTGTTTTAGGAATCAGCATTTCACTTTGCTGCCCAGGCTGGAGTGCATGGTGTGATCATGGCTCACAACAGCTTCAAACTCCCGGGCTCCAGGGATCCTCCCACCTCAGTTGCCCTAGTAGCTGGGACTGCAGGCACATGCCACCACAACTGGCTAATTGTTTTTTACTTTTTTTAGAAATGAGATCTAGCTATGTTGTTCAGGTTAGTCTTGAACTCCTGACCTCAAGTGATCCTCCTGCCTCAACTTCCCAAATTGCTGGGATTACAAGTATGAGCCACTGCACTCAGCTGCTTTCTTTTCTCTTTACTAATTTGACAAGATTTAAAATTGTATCTTGTTATTTTACTTTGTTTTGTTTGAGACAGGGTCTCACTCTGTCACCTAGGCTGGAGTGCAGTGGTGTGATCACGGCTCACTGCAGCCTCGACCTCTTGGGCTCAAGCAATCCTCTTACACCAGCCCCTCCCAAGTAGCTGGGACTATAGGCGCACACCACCACACCCAGCTAACTTTTTTAGTTTGGTAGAGGGGAGATTTCACCATGTTGCCCAGGCTGGTCTCGAACTCCTGAGCTCCAGTGACCTGCCCACCTTGGCCTCCCAACGTGCTGAGATTACAGGCATGTACCACCTCACTGGGTCTATTTTGAGCACTAATAAGATCAAGCTTTTCTTCAAATTAGGTTATGTCTATTTTTTATTTGTAAATTTCCCATTCATATTATCTATTCTTCCACTAAAGTAAGTATTTGACTGTTAGAGTAAATAAAATATTTAGATTTTTTAAAAAAGTGAAACTATAGAGACCATTAAAAAGGGTGGTATTGATCCTTTAGTAGAGATGGCCTTAGTAAAAAGAAAAAGGGAGAAAACCATTGATAGATCTGTCTACATAAAAACTAAATACACCTGCCCAACAAAAATACCCAAACCAATTGAACAAACTAAAATAGTATAAAACGTGACATTTATCTTTAGTATAAAAGAACTCTCACAACAATACGAATGATGAATTCTAGAAAAAAATAAAATGTATAGTTTAAAAGAAGAATCTAATTTGTAGAATGAATGGTAAGTTATTTTTGGTATAGAAAACAAAGTCCAATAGGTTACCATCCTCTCCTATGCAATGCCCCTTTATTCTGTCTGCTTGGGAGGAAAATACGTGGAAACAGCAGTGGAGACATTCTCCATCTACCCTACTTACCCCTTCTCAACTCTGTAAGTAGTTGTATATTTACAACTTTACAATGAGCTACAATAGTATTATAGTATTATATAGGTGGCAAATACTGCTAATTCAGCGGGTAGGATTAAAGCATTTCACCAATACGGATCAAACATATATGAATAAAGTTTAATTTTGAGATGTATAAAATAAAAAATTAAACATTATAATGCTACGTTATTCAGCTAAGTATCTATGGTGTATGTTCATAGCATCATGTAACTGCATAGGAATTATCAAAGTTTGTAATTACATTGATATGTGTGATCATTTATTTAATATCATGTCTCCCCTACTAGAATGCATTTTTCTGAGGCAAAGACCCTTTAATGCCACAGGGTCTGGCTTTAGTAAAAACAATGTTTTTACTCAATGAATTAAAAATATACATATACATGGGTCACCTGGGGAGAGGGGCCTCAGAAGCAACTATGCAGTTTACACAAATAAATAAAATACATAGATTGACAGACAAATGTAGTTTAAAAATACGTCCACAACTTCTTAGACATTCCTTCCTTCAAGAGGTGGAGGCTTGCGTGTGGGCTGGATTTAGTGGCTTCTAAAGAAATAACGTGGAAGTGACAGTGTATCACTTATAAAACCACATCACAAAAGGCATTGTGGTGTCACCCTCACCCATGAGCAAGTGCTCTCACTCTCTTATCACTTACTGGGAAAATCAGCAGTTACGTCATAAAGAAATTCAAGCAGCTCCTTGGAGAGGTGCACAGCAAGGAACTGAAGCTTTGTGCAAACAAACAGCATTAATTTGTCAGGTGTAGAAGTGAGCTGTCTTTGAAATGAATCCTTCGACCACAGTCAAGCCTTCAGATGATTGAAGACCCAACCCAATGACTTGTCTGCAAACTCATGAGAAATTCTGAGTTAGAACCACCCAGTTTAGTCACCTGGATTCCCAATTCACAGAAACTGTGACATTAATATTTGTTATTATTTCAAGTCACTGAATTTGGAGTTGTTACACAACAATAGATAATATAATCAATCAATCAAAGCATGCTTAAAGCTTAGGTAGGTAGGGGTCTGGACATCTGTGCTTTTAAAAAACTTCCAAAGCTGATTTTGATATGCTCCCAAGGTTGAGAACCTCAGCTGTCTACTTCTTTCAAAAATTTTTCCTTTAAAAAGTTTCATTTAAGTCAAATCATTTAAAATTAAGTCATACTTTGAATGAAAATACACTCTGTGAAGAAAACAATTCACAACTCACTTTAAAATAATCTACCATTAGGGTGAATCTCTCATTTTAAGGGTAATCTCTCTGATGTTCATATTTTTAAATAACATTGTGTCTATCTTTCACGTGTACAATGAGACCTTGATCTTAGTATCTAATGTAATTTACAATCTCATAAAAGGTTAGGATTGGTAAAACTCCAGATTAACCTCTCTCGAACTGCTAAACTTGTTTCAAAGTTACAAAAACATAAATACTATGTTAAACTCATTTAGATTTTATTCCTCTGCTTTAAAGAAAACAGAAACAAAACGAAACCTTTCCCTAGAACCATTAACATACTTACAGACTGATGAATAAAAGGCAGATCTTGCGTAGCTGCTAATCTACTAGAAAAACCTGTGCTCCCATCTGGGATGCCAAAATTCAATGGTTCTCTCTTCTTAATAACAATCTGAAAGATTAATTGAAAAAGAATTATAGGGATATTTTACAAATCACTACATAAGAATAGACAACCAAAACATTTTGTAATTACTTAAAATATTTCTTTTTAAAATTTACAACGTAAAAACTAAAAAAAGTCTGTAAATACCAATTTCCCAGGCAATTGTTGTAAAAATCAGTTACATACTAAGAAAAATTGTATTTCACTTTTAAAAATTAATACAGTCTCATTTTCTTTCTTCCTCTCCTACTTTCCCCAGACCCCAAAATATAATCAATCACTTTTAGTTACTGTATTAAATAAGAACAGGTATCATATCCTGCCAATAGTATAAACAACTCTCCCAGCATGTGAGATACCTATGAATACATTAACTCATTCAGGCCAGTAGCATCAAAATACACTTACATGATATGTTGGTAGCCTTATTCAAAGCATTTCCACTCTAATTAATTTAATAAGGCACTATAGTGTAATATACTAGCTTCCTACTGAGAGCAGCAGTATACTTCCACAATACAAGGTATTCCTCTACTAAGAAACTCACTTAAAGAATCCTTTAAAAATACACAATTTAATGTGTTTTAGCATTGAGAAATTTGGACAACTCAACAAAAAAGAATGTAAATGTTATCAACCTAGACAATGTAAATATAAATGTATAGCTGAAATCAGTTGAGAGAAAGAAGGTGAGGAACAACTGCATTATAAATTGTGAAATGTCCTAATTTTTATAAAGTGTGTGTAAATATATATATACACATATATATATATATATGAGATCACATTTTCTATGTTTGAACAGGAAAGTGAGCTTTAAGTGTGTTTTTCTGATATAGCAGAGTAACTGGGAAATAAATAAATCTTCATTTACCATAATATTAATGTAATGGACAATGTCTGTTACTGGTAAACAAGAAATGGAAATATAATCATATTATAGATAGATATGGTGACAAACACTTGAAGAAATCCAAACAGAAAATTATTGAGTGGCTGCTTCTTGGAAGTAGAACTGGCTAAGAAGAGTGATAGGTCAGAAGTCTAACTTTTCATTATAAGTTCTTCTACATTTTTTGATTTAAAAAAAGTACATGTAGTATTTTGATAAATGAAAAGGAAAATACTCAAGCATTCTGCTTTTTCCAGTAATTCCCTGTATCTCTAAATGATCTTCCATATTCAATTCAAAAGAGATTAAATAATGTATAGATGACTAATACAAACTCACAATTATTCTTAAGTTCTTAGAGTCCTCCATCAGTTTTATAATGGTTACAAACAATAAAATCCACTTATCAGTTTGTAGATATTACTAAAGTATGAACTTAGAACTCTTATCCAATTCACCTTAGTCTCCATGGCAGAGATTGGAGTCTAGAATCTGACATATAGTAGGATTTCGATACATGTATAAATATAATTTTAAAAGATTTGGGGTACAACTTACTAGAACTATGTCCAGGTCATTTGAACATATAAAATTCTTACTTAACAAGACAGAAAACAAACAACAGATAGTTAGAAATAGGCTTTCTAAGAAATGTGAATTGTATAATCTAATTTTAACTATAGGAATCTAAAAAGTAGTTTAATCTCCAAAAGCATAAATCTTAACATACTTTCTGAGTTTTCCTAATAGTTGGTGTCATGTCCTTAAAATAGTCAGGTTCCAGTTGTTCCAAAGAATTTTGTTGTGTTGCCACACTCCCATTCCCTCCTTCGATCTTTACACTGGTGGGTGCATCTTCATCCCAGGAAGTCCACTCTTCAACATCTGTCTAAATTTAATTGATCAACAGTATCAGCCACAAAGGGGCAACTTAATGAACATTTCATTGATGATTTATTGGAAAAATGGACTTTACAAAAACACTGGTTTTCACACATTTTTGACCCACAGGAAAATATACATTTTATATCGCAGATCAAAACTTGATCAAAAGTTGAAAAAATACAAGACATTCTGATATATTATGTTCTATTTTATTCTATTATGTCTATTAAAAAACAAAAAACAAAGTAAAACAAAAGCAAATGTTCTGAAAACTGAACTGACATTAAAACTACAACCCATAGAAGGACTGGACATTTTCACCTAAGCCTAACCAGATTGATCATCTGATAAAAAATACCAAGCTTCTCCACATGATTTAAATAAGACAAAGTCTCAAAGCATAGTATTCAAAATGTTCATGAAACAACCCAGAATTATTCAGCACATAAAAATCAATAAATCTTAATTTGCAAGGTTAAGTTAATCAACAGATACCAACACCAAAATGATATGTTGGAATTCTCTAAGGCTTTACAATAGCTATTATAAAAATGCTCCAACAAGCAATAGCAAACACTTGAAACCAATGAAAACAAAATAGAAAATGTCAACAAAGAAACAAGATAAAATGAAGAACTAAATAGAATTTTCAGACCAGATAAATTTAACAACACAACAAAAATCAAAGTAATTTCTATTAATATATTGTTCTAGGACACTTACTCAATTTTTCAAAAACAAAACAAAACAAAACAAAAGAACAAAGAAAAATCTACCTGCTTAGGAACTGATGAATAATCAACTGTAGTTGGCAAAGTTATTTGGTCTCCACTTAATTTCCGTCCTCTGCCAGATCTGAAACAAAAATGAAATAATTTATTTCAAGAACTACCAAAACAGTCAAAAGAACAAAGCTGGAGGCATCACGCTACCTGACTTCAAACTATACTACAAGGCTACAGTAACCAAAACAGCATGGTACTGGTACCAAAACACAAGAAATGGGGAAAGGATTCCCTATTTAATAAATGGTGCTGGGAAAATTGGCTAGCCATAAGTAGAAGGCTGAAACTGGATCCATTCCTTACTCCTTATACGAAAATTAATTCAAGATGGATTAGAGACTTAAATGTTAGACCTAATACCATAAAAATCCTAGAGGAAAACCTAGGTAGTACCATTCAGGACATAGGCATGGGCAAAGACTTCATGTCTAAAACACCAAAAGCAACGGCAGCAAAAGCCAAAATTGACAAATGGGATCTCATTAAACTAAAGAGCTTCTGCACAGCAAAAGAAACTACCATCAGAGTGAACAGGCAACCTACAGAATGGGAGAACATTTTTGCAATCTACTCATCTGACAAAGGGCTAATATCCAGAACCTACAAAGAACTCAAACAAATTTACAAGAAAAAAACAAACAACCCCATCAAAAAGTGGGCAAAGGATATGAACAGACATTTCTCAAAAGAAGACATTCATACAGCCAACAGACACATGAAAAAATGCTCATCATCACTGGCCATCAGAGAAATGCAAATCAAAACCACAATGAGATACCATGTCACACCAGTTAGAATGGCGACATTAAAAAGTCAGGAAACAACAGGTGCTGGAGAGGATGTGGAGAAACAGGAACACTTTTACACTGTTGGTGGGATTGTAAACTAGTTCAACCATTATGGAAAACAGTATGGCGATTCCTCAAGGATCTAGAACTAGATGTACCATATGACCCAGCCATCCCATTACTGGGTATATACCCAAAGGATTATAAATTATGCTGCTATAAAGACACATGCACTCGTATGTTTATTGCAGCACTATTCACAATAGCAAAGACTTGGAATCAACCCAAATGTCCATCAGTGACAGATTGGATTAAGAAAATGTGGCACATATACACCATGGAATACTATGCAGCCATCAAAAAGGATGAGTTTGTGTCCTTTGTAGGGACATGGATGCAGCTGGAAACCATCATTTTTAGCAATCTATCACAAGAACAGAAAACCAAACACCACATGTTCTCACTCATAGGTGGGAACTGAACAATGAGATCACTTGGACTCAGGAAGGGGAACATCTCACACAGGGGCCTGTCATGGGGAGGGGGGAGGGGGGAGGGATTGCATTGGGAGTTATACCTGATGTAAATGACAAGTTGATGGGTGCAGCACACCAACATGGCACAAGTATACATATGTAACAAACCTGCACATTATGCACATGTACCCTACAACTTAAAGTATAAAAAAAAAAAAAAAAAAAAACTGTAAAAAAAAAAAAAAAAAACAAGCAAAGTAAAAGCACTATGTATCTGGTAATTTAAGGCTTATAAAACAAGACCTTTCTCAATTTTATGATTATTGATTTTAATAATTAACAGTTACTCATTAATTTATGGTAAAAAAGTCATAAATCAGACATCTTGTGAATGTTTTTTAAATCTTGGACAGAAACAGAACAACGTAACTGCTTTTTGGCTTAAGACTTCGAATTATAAACAAATTCAAGAGGAATATAAAGTCAAAAACAAAAATGCAAGATGGCTTCAGAGCATGCTCCTTGGAGTGCTATGGGTTCTGTGGGTGAAGTTCTGGGCCACCTTTGCTGTTTTAAACAGGGTGGCTTGGCTTTTATGTTTTATACATGGGGTTTCTTGATAAGATTAACTATTAAGAATTAAATCACTGGTTTGAACCAAACGGTAATTTAGTTTTAAGGATTAGTAGGAGAAGTACCACATTAAACAGGACGTACTATAACTCAGTTGTTAAGAACATGTGCTGTGGGATCTATAAACCACAGTTTTCAATGTTACTTCTATTATGTCTAGTTAGAATTATCTACTTCTCAGCCTCAACAGCCTCATCTATAAAATGCAGGTATTCAAACCCACTTTTGCAGGGTTGTTTGGATTTAATTAACTGACATATTTAAAATCCCTAGACAGTGTGTGCCTGCTACATCGTAAACCATACAAAAAATGGCAGGTAATAGAGATGATGAGTCACTTACTTCACTTCAAATAATCTACAAAGCATCGATAAGAACTAATTGATAAAGTCAGCTATTTTTATTACAGATTCAAAGCTATATTTGTTTAAACGCTGAATAGAAAAGTAATATAAAAAAGTAATATGAAATTTATGACATAAGCCTGTTTTTCCTTTCAGTAGAGATGGGGTTCTGCTGTGTTGCCCAGGCTGGTCTTGAACTCCTGGCCTCAAGCTATCCTCCCACCTCGGCCTCCCAAGGCACTGGGATTACAGACATGAGCTACCATGCCTGGCCAAGCCTGGTATTTTAAAATACATGGTCTAAGGTTCCTTCAGACACCAAAGAGAAACTTATCCTAACATATGGTCAGTTTTCTTTAAAATAGAACATACAATCAATTCTAAATATGTATACATTTACAATAGGAATGTTCTTAATATTTTTACATCAAGAAAATTTCTTATCGTAAAAGTAATCTATTTAATGAAAATTTTAAAAAATAGTAGTGCAAAAAGAAAACATCTATATTTCATCACCACTGTTAACACAATGCTTCTTATTTTAACTTCCTGTCTTCTGGCAATTAATACCCATTTTTAATGTTGCTTTACCTGGTGAATTTCTGGCCATTCTCTTCCTCATTCTCTGGTCATTTAAACACTTAGGTCACTCCTTTTTCTACTTCCCAAATCCTACCCTCTTGGGTGATTTCAAGTCAACCACCTAAATTTTCCATTTCTTTCTTGACTTCTGCTCGAGTGATTATCTCTGGATGATCATTTCACCCACTTGGTCTCTTGCAATACCCTGGACTTTTTTTTTTTTTTAAATCTCAGACCACTCTACTTGTAGCAATAAATTCAATGGCACTTAAGTCTCAAGAGTTTTAGCAGCTATCAAATGGTCATTTAGCCAGAGACTGCAGTTCCCATCCTTCCTTGCAGCTAGGGGGCCATATGACTAAGCTCTGGAAAGCAGGCAGTGCAAAAATTGTTGTGTGCAACCTCTAAATCATGTCTCTCTCTCTCTCTCTATATATATAAAGAGCTGATTGCTATCCATTTCCTCTTTTACTATACCCTCCTCTTAGTGTGTAACTTTTTCACAGTACCCTTAGGCCACAGAAACACCTAACAATTCCACCAAATAAGGTAGTTACACCCAAAAATCTTAATACTTAAGTATGTCCTAACTGCTTAGTAGCCATTGTAAAAAATACACATTTAAAGAAAATGTCATATTTCTATTTTATTCTTAAATAACCACAATCACTGAACTTATTAATGAAATGTGTGTGCCTGTTGAACACTCCACAGCTTCTTATGCCTTAGAATAAGACTGGAGACCATCATTCTTGTTTTCAGTTCTACATTAATTTTGGTGCAGTACTTGCTTTTAATTACAACCTAAAATTCTGGCTTTGCAACGAGATGTCACCAAAAATATAAGTAAACAAAAACTATCTCAAACATTAAAGAATACCATCATAAAAAAATACTGCAGGATTTAATGTTGCAAATATGAACTACTTTGAGTTGAGGTATTCAACAGATGCTATCACTATGTTTCACTGGAAAATTTAAAATATTCTATGGCATCCCTGTGAATTTCATGTAAAGCCCTGAGGTGCCTCAGCACACATTTTAGAAATCATAGCTCTTGGGTATGATCCTGTGACAAAACAGAAGGAACTGAAGTCTACAGATGATGTCCTAAAGCAAATGACCTACCTGCCCTTGACTAGCATATTCTGGAATGTTACTTAAATAGACAAAATAACTTTTTTTTAATATAAAAACAGCACTACTGTAGTATAGGCAGAAATATCTATTCTGAATTTCACCTAATCACTTTAAAACATTCCTATAACGAAACAAATACATCAAAGTTCTGTGATGATTATAACAACAAAAGTTGGTCTGTCTATTCCTAAATAGTATTAAGCATATTATTTTAGTGGAAAGTGTAAGAATTTGAATGAACAAAAACAACTGAACCTCTATTTTCTAGATCTGAAGTAGAGAAAAAGTATTTAAAAATTACTAGGAATTAATGAATAAATACTGCAATCAAGATATTCAGCTTAAATATAACCTGTCCCATCCACAAAATTTTAAGTTTTGAAGGTATCCAAAACCAGCGAGGAGATAAACAGGTCAGTTTGAACATAAAACTTACCTGCATATTAATCTCTTTAGGAATGAGAATACTGTTGCTAGGCAGGTACAAAATTTAAATAACCGAAACTGGCTGATGGCCATGGTGGGAATCAAAACCTGTAGAAGAGGCACAAAACAAAAAATGCAGTAAATCGATTTCAAAAGTCATACTCCTGTCCTGAAGAGACCTATTATGCACTGAGAAAAATTTAAGATAGTTTTTACTTTTCTCTAGAAACTATAACACAGTAAATTTTAAAATTATAATTTAAATCATATTAACAATTCAAAAACCAGATTTTTGAGTTTTCAGTGGTTGTAAGGATAAAATCCCTCATTTTGAGTTTTTGAAAATATTTTACCTAAATCTATTAATACAAAAATTTACAATTCAAAAAATCAAAAGTATAAAATAGTATATATTAAATCTCTGTGTACCTTTTGAAGTTTGAACCACATGAACATACTATTTAAAATATTTTAAATATTTTTAACTTGCAGATGAATATGTTTCCTTATATCCATTTTATAGATGAGGAAATTGAATTAAGAGAGGTCACATAACTTGATCAAAGTCACATAGCTAGTAAGTTGAAAGTTACCATGGAGCTCATTTAGTCCAGTGGTTCACAAATCCGGGAATCTATTAAAGAAATGCCAATACCTAGGACTACCTCTAGTAAGTCCATTAAATCATATATTCTGAGGCGTAAGGGCTGGTCACAACCAATAAGACAAGAAGGGAGATTAAAAACTACTCAACTGAAAAGGCAGCAGGAAACAAAGAAAAGAGAACAAATAACACATGGGACAAGTCAAAAACAAGTATGATGACAGACGTAAATCTAACCATATCAATAATCTCATTAAATGCAAATTGTGTAGCATTTCAATTGAAAGGCAGAGATTGTTAGATTGGTAAGAAAGGAAGACCGGCCCCCTCTATGCTGCCAATGAGAAACGCATTTTAAATAAAAAGACACAAATAGGTTAAAAGTAAAAGGATAGGAGAAAATATACTATGCTAGCACTAAGAAGTTGAAGCGACTCTTTCAACGCTAGACAGATTATAGCAAAAAGAACATTACCAGATATAAAAGTGCTCATTTCACAGTGATAAAGGGGTCAATTAACAAAAAGTACATAACAATCTAAAACATGTGTCCTTAATAATAGAATTTCGCCAATATCATAAACAAGACAGATGACATTAGATTCTGCAGATATTAAAAGGATACTGAAGAACTATTACGTTTACCTTTGTTCCTGTATTTACTTGACAACTGAAATGAAATGGACAACTTCTCTGAAAGACACAAATTACTAAAGCATAAGAACAACCTGAAAATCTGTGTATCTATTAAAGAAATTAAATTTGTAGTTATAAAAGTTTCCCAGGCACAGATGGCTTCACTGGTAAATTCTACAAAACATTTAGGAAGGAATAATACCCATTCTATACAAACTGCCAAAAAACTGAAGAAGGAATATTTTCCCAACTCATTATTTGAGGCCAGTATTACACTGATACTAATCCAAAGATATTACCAGAAAAGAAAACTATTAATATTCTATGAATCTAGACAGAAATCTCCTTAGCCAAATGTTAGTAAATTAAATCCAACAATATATAAATGGATACAACAGCATGAAAAATTGGTGCTTAGTTTGGAAATGTTGGATTGGTTTAACATTTAAAAATCAAATGTCATTCACTGTATTAGCAAACTAAAAACGAACAACCATATAAACATCCCAATAGAGACAGAAAAAGCCTTTGACAAAACTCAACATCCATTCCTGTTTAAAAAAAAAAAATGCTGCAAAGTATAAGGGAACTTTCTCAACTTGATCAAGAACGTCTATGAAAAAACTACAGTAATATAAGACTTAACAGTAAAAAAAAAATTCGATAGTTTCTCCCTACGATCACGAACAACACAAGCATGTCTGCTTTTTCTACTTTCAGTCAACATCATAGTGGAAGTTCTGGCCAATGTAATCCAGCAAAAAAAAAGAAAAAAGAAAAAAATAGAAAAGAAATAAAAAGCATCCAGAATGGAAAGGAAGAAATAAAAGTGTGCTACTCTACGTGGAAAATTCAATGGGATCTACAATTAATTGTATTTCTACACATTAACAACTATCAGTAAGAAATTGAAATGTTAAAAAAACATTTACATAGGCATAAAAAATATGATACTTGAGGACAAATCTAATTAAGGACTTGATTACTGAAAACTATCAAATATTGCTGAGACATTTAAAAGGCCTATATTACTTTAAAAAGACTTTTTCAGAGATAGAAGACTTTTATTAAGATATCAACATTTCCCGAAATGAGTTATAGATTCCATGCAATCTCAACCAAAATCTTGGCAGGTTTTTTCTGTAAAACTTGACAAGCTAATTTCTAAAATCCATATGGAAATGCAAAGAACGTATATAATAGCCAAAACAACACTGAAAAAGAACAAGGTAAAACTGCTAGCACTATCTGGTTTCAAGACTTGTTATAAAGCTTCAGTAATAAAAAATGAATAGTATTAGAATCAAAATACATGAATAGATCAATGAAAAGTACAGGAATAGACCCACATACATACAAACAACTGAAATTTAATAAAGATGCAAAGGTTAATTCAGAGAGAAAAGAATAGGTATTAAGAAAAAAAAAAGTACTGGTTAAACTGGATATCCACTTGGAAAAAATCAAAACAAAAACCTTCAATATATATCTGGCACCAGTTACAAGTAATTAAAAATACATCAGAGACCTAAATGTAGTCTGAAACTACAAAATTTCCAAGAAAAAAAAAAAAAAAACCTGGTGACCCTGGGTCAGGCAAAGATTTTTAGGTAATACAACAAAAGCACAATCCATAAAATAAAAGATTGGCAAATTGGACTTTATGAAAATTAAAAACTACAATTCAAAAACACTATTAATGGAACAAAAAGACAAGTCACAGACTGAGAGAAAAATCCTTGCAAAGCATACGTCTGATAACGGACTTAAACCCAGAATATATAAGAACCTCTCAAAATTCAAAAATAATTTAAAAAAAACTCAATGTAAAAATGAGCAAAAGGTCTAACTAGACGTTTCATCAAAAAATATATACCTGGCTGGGCGCCGTGCCTCATGCCCGTAATCCCGGCACTTTGGGAGGCCAAGGTGGGCAGATCACAAGGTCAGGAGAACAAGAACATCCTGGCGAACACAGTGAAACCCTGTCTCTACTAAAAATACAAAAAATTAGCCAGGTGTGGTGGTGGGCACCTGTAGTCCCAGCTACTCTGTAGACTGAGGCAGCAGAATGGCATGAGCCCAGGAGGCGGAACTTGAAGTGAGCGGAGAACTTGAACTGCTCCAGCCTGGGCGACAGAGCGAGACTCTGTCTCAAAAAAAAAAAAAAAGAAAAGAAAAGAAAAGAAAAAGAACATATACAATGGTAAATAAGTACATTAAATGATGGTCAACATCTTTAATCATCAGAAAAATGAAAATTAAAACCACAGTGAGAAATTATTACATACCTACTGGGATGATTCAAACTAAAAATAATGACCATAGCAAGTACTGGCAAGGATTTGGAAGAACTGGCACTCTCCTACTTTAGTAGTGGGAAAGTAAAATGTACAACCACTTTGAAAAACAGTTGGGCAGTTTCTTACAAAGTTTGACAGACATCTACCATATGACCCAGCCATTCTACTCCTAGTAATTTACCCAAGATAAAGAAAAGCATATAGCCATATAAAGACTCGTATTTGAAGGGTAAGGCAGGAGAATAGCTTGAATGCGGGACGCGGAAGTTGCAGTGAGCCAAGATTGAGCCACTGTACTTCAGCCTGGTGACACAGCAGGACTCCATCTCAAAAAAAAAAAAAAAAAAAAAAAACTGAAATAAATAAATAAATAAAGACTTGTATTTGAATAGCAGCTTTTTTACTTAATAGCTCCAAACTGGAAATAACACAAATGTATATCAACAGGTGAGTGGATAAACAAATTGTAGTATATAAATACAACAGACTACTACTCAACAATAAATAGAAATGAACTATTGTTACAAGTAATAGCATGACTATATCTCAGAATAATTTTACTGAATGAAGAGTCAGACCACCAAAAAAGTATATACTGTATGATTCCATACACAGCATTTTTTAAGCTCTAGAACAGGGGTGTTCAATCTTTTGGCTTCCCTGGGCCACACTGGAAGAAGAAGAATTGTCCTGGGCCACACACAAAATATACTAACACTAACCAGAGCTGATAAGCCTAAAAAAATTGCAAAAAAAGCTCATAATGTTTTAAGAAAGTTTACTAATTTGCATTGGGCTGCATTCAAAGCCATCCCGGGCTGCATGAGGCCCACAGGCAGCAGATTGGACAAGCTTGCTCAAGCAATTATAAACAAATATAGAGTGACAGAAAATATCAGCAGTGCCTTGTAATGGGGCAGGGACGAGTGGGAAGGAAGGACCACTGAGGGACATGAGGAAACTTTTGCAGGTAATGGATATATTTACTGCTTCAATTGTGGTGGTTTCATAGGTGAGTGTATATATATTCATCAAAACTAATCAAATTGTATACTTTAATTATATACAGATTATTGTATTTCAATTAGAGCTCAAAAGAGCTGTTAAAACAATCTACACCAAGACATTTTTGAACAATATTATGTCACTTAAATTAGAACGCTGTTCATATTCTGATTAGAATATTATTTTTAAAAGTCATCAACACCATAATTATCTTGTATCAATTATTTGTTACTTTGTAGAAAGCCAACTTCCATTAGGAAACTAGGACAATTAGTGAAAAGAAACATTATGTCAGAACTTCTCTAAAAACAGAAATCTGATTTCACAATAGCGTTGCAATATACTGTAATAACTTACTTTATATTTCATGAAAAGCATTCTTCTTAGTGATTAACATGTAGTAACTCATTTAATGCTCACAACAACCATGGGAAGGACTTGAAGCAAGTACTATTTTGTCCCTACTTCAGATAAGAAAACTAAGGCACAGAGGGGTTAAGCAAGCTGCCAACGACACAGAACTGATAAGTTATAGAACTGGAATTTGAACCCAAAGAGTC